ACGATATATCGTGCAGCCCTACCTCTGACCCACCTCACCCTCTTCATCTGTCTGCCCTTGTCATCCTGATTTGTGTGTGAGGTAAATGGTGTTCGAGTTTGTTGTCAGCAAGGGAGCAAGAGGAAAGGCTATTGATCCATGCTGACCATACACTCCACCAAGCAGCTCCTGACAGCACAAGACAAATGAAGCATCAGATTCACCGTGTTGACTGACCTATTCCCATCAACAACAACACCGCCACCACATGAAAGACCCCGGTGGAGCAGGCAGGGGAGGGGGAGAAAGCACACCTCATGAAACCAGGCCGCATAAGCCTAGAGGATTTTTATTGATTACTAATGTCCATCCCCTGCACTCAGCTTTATCCCAGTCTGGGTCCCCTGAGGTCCATCGTATTAATGTTAAAATCCAGGACAGAACACAATGTTTTTCTCCTGCTTCTTTCTCTATATTGAACAGAAATCTTAATTTCACAAAAACAGCATCTAGAAGTGGGTCACAGGGGTAAAAACAACACGAAGAGTTTACTGACATGGATTAAAAAATTCTGGCTGGATTTTCTATAGAATGAACATGAATAATGGCACAATACAGCACTGTTCGCTTAAAGTCTGCATCAAATCCAAAATGACCCTGTTTACACACCTAAGGTTTTGATTTAGTATATTATTGGGAATTGACTGGATTGTGAAAAGTGAGTGTTCCATATGAGAATGGTGCTAAATTTGAATTTGATGCCTAAATATCTATTGCCTATTGATTTGTATTATTATATTCAACAGCCTGTGAAGCCAAAGTGACGTCAGTGAAAATGAAAAGTCAATGAAGAGTGAATTGTCATATAGGACATTTGAGTATCGCTTTTGGTTTTGATTTAATTTGATTTAATTCTGATTCATAATGGTATCTTTCTGTTGTAGTCAATTTTGCTTAAAGAGATTCTCTGCAAATGTTGTGAAATGGACAGAGCAGTGTTCCAGACAGATTTAGACTGGTCTTTTTGAACTAGTCATTAAAAGAAATGGATCATAAGATTAATTTAAGAATTGGGCTGCATCTGTCAGGTTGTATGTTTTTAATTCAAGAACCAGCATATATAAGAAGTATCAGTCTATGTTTCTTGTTGCGTGATCATGCAAAGATCATGATTAAACAGAACATTTCTATCAAATGTTACTTCTGTTCAAAAGTTTGAAGTTGTTGGATTTTTAAATGTTTGTGAAATCTCTTATGCTCACAAAAGCAGAATTTATTTGATCAGAAATACTGTAAAACAGCAATATTGTGAAATATTGCAGTTTAAAATAACTTGTGTGTATGTATGTGTATATATATATATATATATATATACACATACATACACACAAGTTATTTTAAACTGCAATATTTCACAATATTGCTGTTTTACAGTATTTCTGATCAAATAAATTCTGCTTTTGTGAGCATAAGAGATTTCACAAACATTTAAAAATCCAACAACTTCAAATGAATTTCTTTAGATCGCGGCATGATGTGTTGCTCTTTAAGCATGCTTCACTTTGTCAGACAGGTTCTATTTAAGTGATTTCTTGATTCAACAGGTCTGGCAGTAATCAGGCCTGCATGTGGCTAGTGAAATTTAACTCAGCTTTCTGAAATAATGTAGTTAAATCACAGTTCTTTCATGATTTAAGAGGAGGGGCAAATATTTTTTCACGTAGGGCCAGGTAGGTTTGGACAGCTTTTTTCCCTTAATAAATGAAATTATCATTTAAAAACGGCATTTTGTATTTACTTGCATTATCTTTGCGTAATATTAAAATTGGTTTGATGATCTGAATCTTTTAAGTGTGACAAATATGCAAAAAATTTAAAAAACAGGAAGGGGGCAAAAACCTTTTCACGGCACTGTATATATAGAAATCTGTATTTCCTCATTTATTTTTTCCTGTGATAGCAAAGCTGAACTTTCAGCATCATTACTCCGGTTTTCAGTGTCACATGATTCTTCAGAAATCATTCTAATATACTGATTTACTGCTCAAGACACATTTCTTGTTAATATCAATGCTGAAAACAGTTGTGCTGCTTAATATTTTTGTGGAAAATGTGATACGTTTTTCAGGAATCTTTGATGATCATAAGGTTAAAAAGAATATAATTTATTTATTCTTTACTGTCACTTTTTAACATTATAATCAGAGCTGGATATTAACTGATTGAACATGTAATCTGGATTACATAATCAGATTTAAAAAATGTAAAATTTGTAATTAGATAATAGTACATTTTAAAATACTCTTAATCAGTTACATTTTTATTGATTACATATTATTCAAACAATAGCAATAAATGATTAATTATTAGGACAATTGTAACAATTAGTCCACTGAAGGCGAGTTTAAGATGAACCTAAGTGCAGCTTTATTCCAAAGTAATCCAAAATCCAAACATCCAAACAAACGAAGAAAGACTTGACTTGGCATGAACAGAAACACAAACTCACCAACAGCAGGTTACACAGTTTAATACTCGACAAAGGATAAATGCAACATGAAGGCTAAAATATCAAACAATACAGGTCACATGACAAGAACCAACCAATGAGAGACAAGACACATGACTAAGTCAACCAATGAGAACATGACACATGAACCAAAGAACCAATAGCAGGGCTGCGTTCAGCCCCGACAAAATGGTGCAAAACGTTTTTTAAACGGAAACGGTGGTGCGTTGAACACCCTGTTCTGATGACGCAAGAGTTGCAACTATGACAGCTGAGAAGGCCATTATTTGTGTTCTTTTTGAAGAATTTTCGGAGCCTGATGAAATCGGTATAAATGCGTGTTTAATACTGCAAAATACGCTCGATGGTACGGTCATTGCCCTTGCCCTCCAGAATAAAGGAGAACATCCCAATCCAGTGAAGGGATTTGTGGAAACTGTGGTTCCTAATTATTGTGATCCAACATTTGCCTCGCATTTCAGGATGAAAAGACAAACATTTCAGGTAAAGGATAATCCACTTCTTACCTCCGAGACTGTGTTAGGATCTATATGGCCTTATTATTTTTTATTGTGAGTATTAGGCTTATCATTATTGCTGATCACTGTTGTTGTGCTATGCTATTGTAATATTTACCATTATATAATCAGAGGAGTAGGCTATAGAAAAGTTTTTGAACTCCACAATACAGTAGCAAAATATATAAATATGTATAGTATTTTTTTTGTTACATTATTAATCAGTGTCTAGCACACCTTCCTAAGGAAAGGATATGGACCAGAAGACATTGCAATTACTGAATGATATTTAGACAGACTTAAAGAAGTTCCAGGTCTATACTTGTGCCCTTATTATTTCAGCTTTTTTGCCTTTAATGTAAATAAACATGTGCAAACAATATACTTGCTCTTGTGAATTTATTTGGATGTTAATTACATTGTGCCAGCTGTCTCTTTAATACCGCGTGGTTTATATACATGTTGCTGCTGATTGGGCTGACATGTTTGACACACCCACCAAACAAGAGAAAACATATCTCAAACCCCGTTGCACACCGTTTCCAGGAAACATGTCGTTCAACCCGGAAACCGTAGCAAAACGTTGTGCACCGTTTGAGCTTGAACTTGCCCCAGGATAAGAGGGCAAGGGAATCACATGACTAGACAGGAACCTTGACAAGGCAAAATATAAAAATAAAAAGACATGAAAACATGAACATGAAACAAAACCCAAAAACCCACGTTACAAGAAGTTATTGATTCTCCCTAATTCTTCTTTTTCATCTTTGGAATTTTCCTTTCAAAAATAGCCTATATGGCTTAAGCCTTATATATATATATATTCAGAAAGACTTCCGGTTTTGTGGACATTCACACAAAGACCAGTCACTAGTCATTTGGCTATAATTACACAGAAAAGTGAAAGGTCACACAGCATTTGACCACTGAATTTACAAAAATCATTTCAATTTTATTAAAACCGTTTTCTCAATTTCAACATTGCATCAACTATGAACACTTCATATTGTTAATAACAACAAATTGATTTTTTTTTCTCTTCGTATTTTTATATCAGTATGGTACAAGATTGTCCTATTTAAATAAATCAATGCGACAAACAAGCTCAAAATTAATCTAAAAGTAATCAAAAAGTAGTCTGATTATATCACCTAAAATATGTAATGTAATGGATTATATTTCTAACAACAATTTTTGTCATGTAAATTGGAATCAGTAATGGACAACAATTTGTAAGTAATCTACACCGCATTGATTATAAATGTCTTTACTATGATTTTAATGAACATTGCTGAATAAAAGTATCATAAAAAAAAAAAATCTTAATGACCCCAAACTTGTAATGGTGAATAATTCACAATAGGAACAGAACTGGGCATTAAGAAACTAAATATGGTCAGATTTGCCTTGATGTTGAAATAAGCGTTTTTTTTTTTTTTTTTGGCTGACATGACCAACCTCTCTTATTTTTATGTAACTTCTCCCCTCCAACTAACTACTATACTCAGACCACTTTTCACAAACCTTATAATCCCTGATGGATAAAATCAAGGATATAGGCTATGTTTCATCTCATTGAATACCATGTAGGCCTATTACTCATAACTACGCCACATTGTGGAAGTATATGCTTTCATGTTGACTTTATAATGTGTCTTTCTTTTTTTAGTCATGTTTTCTCTCTATAGGACTGACACATGTGGACAAGATCTCTCCATGACAGTCCACTCTGTGGCCAGGAACAATGCTTGACAAGACAACCTCATGCCAATATGGCAACTGTTCTAAAGCAGCCTCTGGAAAAAAGAGCAAGAAAAGTAGTGTAAGAGAGAGAGAGAGAGAGAGAGGACACTTGTGTCATACTGATGTGTTTCCAGTAGCAGAGATACACTGTACACACAAACACGCCACCAAACACCACAAGGCTCTAGGACCCTGCGGTACACTGATTCTCTAGCGAGAAGAGGGGGAAAAGTGGGGGGTGGAGCGGAGCGCAAAAAAGACAGTGGATGAGGGAAAAAGAGATGTGGAGAGAGAAGAGGAGAGCAAGATGCAAGGATCCGCTTCGCTGCTGTAGTTTGAAAGTCTCGCCAAGGGGACTTAGAAGAGCATTGGTGGTATAAATACCCAGCATAAACAGGATTAAAAGAGCAACTACTGACTCCATCAGAGAAGTGTGAAGTGAGAGAGACAAGCAGAGAGAGAGATAATAAAGTGTAAGCATCAGGAGTGCTGTGTACTGCAGTGTGTCTCTGCACGCTCGCTTTACTACAACACTCAACTTGGGAGACAAGAAGCGTCACTTCTCTGAACTCTTTTACTGGAACACCATCCCATCGCTCTCTCTCTCTCTCTCTCTCTCTCTCAGTCAGAAACGCTCGTACACACAAATGGAGAATATGTCTTGGTGCTGAAGTTCAAACTGGGCCACTGGATTGATCTATTTTGCTCCACTCAGTTGCTCCAGTCCCACTGGACACGCACCCACACACAGACAACATCGCAGAGTTCAGGATCAGTGGAAGAGGTAGGTTTTGCTTATATCTTTTTTACAGAAAAACAGATTTTAATGTCCTTATCTTTAAATAATAATAATATATTTTAAAAATAAATGTTTAGTTTTCAAATTTATAAAATAAAAATAAATATTTTCATATTTTTATTAATTAACATAATATTTAAATATATATATGTACATATTACATATTTTCAACTTGCAAATGCGTCCAATGTTTAATGAACATACATAGATATTTACTTGCTGAGACTGTACCAGTATTGTTCAGTGAATTCATATCATACAGTTTCTTTATGGGTGGTCTGGATGTAAATGCTATCTTTATCTGCATTCCTCTTCGGATGTATTATATTTCGTGTCACATCCTGGATAAGCAGATGTGTGGGACATTTTTCAATTTTGCTGTGCTGTTATTCGGACCTCTGACCTGTTCTCTTGCTGCTCAAAACACACAACAAGATTTCAAACAATCCTTTTGATTTCCGTACACAGCTGGTGCTTGTGTCAAACAAATTCAATCACAAAGTGTGACGCCAAAATCTTCTGTGCCTGTTGCATAGTATGTAATGATATTTCTGGCAATCATAACACACACAAGCGTTGCCATTATTATTGTGTCACAGACTTCATTGACACAAGGATGTTGTTGCTCAGCAGTACATGGGCTGGTTTAGTCAAGGACACACTTTCTGCTATTGTTTCGAAGAACTGCTGCAGTTCCCATTAGAGAGAGACATTTCTATTGCTATTCACTGTATCTGCAATCCACTGTTGCCTCTGTAGATGCTCCCAAGAGATTGCAGGAATAAATTAATTCCCATGTTTAGATATGCATCGAGACAGTTACTCAAAGCATATTTCACTTTTATTAAAAAGCAGGAAAAAGCGACACCCTCTATTCAGTTTGCTCCTCACCTCATACACAAACTATTAAATTCAGTCTACAAATCATACTTCCAGATTACAATAAAAAGGAGATTATTTCATGACATACGGTCTTGTGCGTTGTTATCCTTACAGTGTCTGTGCACGCCCTCTGATGCACGAATCTCACTACTAATATGAACTGTCCTGTACAGACACACACACACACTACAGCTCCTGCTGTTTATCAGCACTGTGCTGCACATGCAGTGTGTTGCCATATTCCCCTGCCTGCCGCATGCTGGTGAGATAACCTTTTACTTAGCTTGAGTAATAAACAATTAGCCGGTGATTATGTGCGACATGTGAGAGGAATTCTCATTTGATTAAATGTGTTCTTCTCAGCAACGCAGAACATCTCACAGACAAGTTGTCTTACTTGTGTCTGCTGTATTGGCATTATGAAGTGCAAAGAAGCTGTTTTTAGATTATTTGAAGTGTTAAATATTGCATGTATTGCGAGTCAGTGGGATGGGCGCTCTCTTCATGCGTGTGTGTGTGTGTGTGTGTGTGTGTGCTGTGGTCTCTGACTCAGATGATGGAGGAGAAGGCCAGTAAGAGGTCAGGCCACTGAGAGCTCTTTCATTCTTTGCTCTAGATCTGTTTCACACCGCTCGCATAAGCAGGATCGTGTTGTGCTTTCACATTGTGTAACCAAACTGCGTCTTTATAACGTAAATCAAGGGATTTCTAGGTTACAACTTTGGTGAAAAATAAATATACTAATATGTATTTGAAATACATTTATTTCATGTTAAGTATACTCCAGATACTTGATTTACTTATGTGTGTACATATTAAAAATACACTGCAATTGCACTTTTAGTATTATAAAATAGTATACTTGAAGTCTGCAAAATTGGAACAATTGATTTTGTACTTAATGCACCTTAATTGTGTGGAAGTAGTGCTGAAGCCCAACTAAAGATATACTGAAGTATATTTGATTGTGCTGAAGTGGAACAATTACAAGTACACAATCCTCATCAACAGTGACATTAAAATAAAGTAGTACTCCAAATAAAGTTGCATTATAATTTTTATATCAGTAAGTCTTGAGCGATATTTGAACTATACGTAGTATGAAATAAATTTATCTTTTTACTAGGGATAACATTGACCCTAAACATTTCCTGCTTGTCGTCAAACAATTTCAAAACAGTTACAGGAGGCGCTTCAGTTGTTAAACACTGATGTCATAACATGTTTTTATCAAAATGTGGACCTTTTTGGATTTTCAGAAGTTATGAAAAGTAAATGTGTACAACTGGAAATGCGTTAGGACCACTGATCTACAGTCAAACCAAAATTTATTCAGACACCTTCAACATTTCTCACATTATCACAGTTTTTTTTCCCCGCTATAGTTTAGAAAATGGTAATAAAATATGACAAGAACTGTTAAACTGTGTCAGAACAAATTCATCTTGATAATGTCAGATAACTTTGATAGAAAGGTATGTAATGAGTAGCTGTCAGCTGTTAAATTTATGTACACAATTAGATAATACAAATTAAAATAAAAAATGTAGAATTTAATTTTGTTCATTCTCGGGGGTAAAAAGGTCACATTAGCAATTAAAGAAAAACACTTAAGCAAAACATGGTCAGGTCAAAGTGAATAATTTTTGGTCCCAAATTTTTTATCAGTTTTACTGGTAATCCACTGTATGAAGAATTTTTGGTATGTCATAGTTTACATTTGCTATCCTCACTTACATAAATGAACTATAGTGTCCTGCATCCACTACAAAAAATAAAAAATTATATCTGGTGTCTGAATAATTTTTGGTTTGACTGTATAATAGAGAATACCATATATAAAGATCAGTGGTTAGGACCGTTGTGTTAGATTGTTATTGTTTACATCCCTCAAAATGGTATATATTCAGTCCCTGTGTGCATAACTTTTATCATAACTTATGCATTTTTTTTTTTATAAAGGCAAAACATTTTGTTGATTGATAGGTTTATGGTGCATGTTCAACACAAAAATACAATTTATTTATCTAGCATACTGCGTGTGACAAAATAAGCTTAGAATGGAACTCTATTAACTGCTATGCTTCTACTACCAGTGTTATGCGGGCAGTGTGAATGCTGTAACCTGTTAATATCTGACTGAAATAAATGTGTCACTTACATGAGCAGTGTGAAACCTAAGCTAGATCTGAAATATGTTCACCTACCACATCCAACTCGAGCATCAGCAAAATAAGCCTGGAGGCTTGTTTGATTCCTTGATGCACCATCGTAAGCCTTTTAATTTATTAAATGCCCTCTAGCAGTAGAAAGCTGCTTGTGTAGTACAGTACATACACCTCAACGTGTACTCAACGTGCACATACAGCTGGAAGTGTCATATGAGCACAATACACCAGCAGTTCTGATTGATCCGATTTTGCTCCCTATGCACAGCACAGCTATCGTGTTTTGTAGCCGTCTCAGTTAACAAGCACTGGCATGAGATGAAAAGACCCCGTCTCACACCAAATGAAAGTGAAATGGAGGTCTGAACTCCGTAACTCAACTGTCCAGTCAGTTGGTGACTAAACAGACAGTGTTTTCTGTATAAAGGTAACTCTGAACTGGAACATCAATATATTATTATATTATATTATAATCATATAATCATTATGATTATATAATCATATAATCATTATAGTCACCCTGGTGCTATTTTGGATAGTATCCACTAACGTAAATAACATATGCTGTTCTGTGTCAGCTGCGCCATGCGGATACGTTGTTTTCATTCAGATCAAAGCGTAAACAACGTATCCGCGTGGCGCAGCTGACACAGAACAGCATTCGTTGTTTACGTCCAGCAGATGCTCTCCAAAATGGCA